TTCCTTGGTCCAAAGAGGAATCACGTAGGACACCATGAGGGTAGAACAAACACTCCACAGCTGTGACTGGTGCTGGCTGAGGTAGGTCCTGTAAGGAGAAAAGGCAAATCTAAATACAGAATACATGTCGATTCAAGTGTCCAGTCATTTTTCCTTTGAAACTCCTGACCAGCCCAACTCTTTACCAGATGCAGTGCCTGAAACTGCCTATGGGACAGTTTCCTTTGCTGCTATCATTTAGGGCCACCCCTGAGCTGCAGAGCAGCAGCTGTCCAGTTTGAGATTGCACCCACATACTGAATTAACAGGAGCAAACGAGTTTTTTCCTTCTCTTTGAACTGACCAGAAGGTATCCATCATGCAAATATCAAATGTAACCCACAAGGAGCTCAACACTATGCAGAGGCCTGGTGGGGCAGGAGTTGGAGTGGGGAATAGAGTTCCTGCTTCTGAAAGTATAGAGAATTGGGTTTGAGAGGAAAAGTTGTGCATTCATGGTATTACATAAGGGAAGGTAGACACACCTGCCATCACATAATTCATACTCATTTCTGGGCTAAATACATATACTTAAGCATCATTGAAATATCTAAAAATACCCCAAGAAAGTCAGGATTGGGGAGTTTTGCAAGTATCTTCTCATTCCTTACAACTGCCCTGGGAGAAAGATAGTATTACTCATCTTTCACAGGTAAGAAAACCAAGGCTGAAAGAAGTTAAATTGCTTGACATGGTTACTCAGCTCAAAGATTAGTCAACTAATTCATTTCAAAGCCCAAGCACCTGCTACTTCAACAGCAGTGGGTGAATTAACAGGAAGCAGTGGGAGCTGTGAGTATGATGTTGCTGGGAGCAGGGGTATCCATGTTAGCTTTTTTTTTTTCTTCCCGTTACCTTTTTAAAATAAAGTCAATAAAAGGTAAAGACATCCTGTTTCCCTGTGTCTAAGTGCCTCCTCGTTGCCCTGGTAACAGAATCCCTTCCCCCACTCTGCATTAGCGACTCCCCCTGCAACATCAAGGACATAGCTTCAGGGAAAATTGGTGTCAGCTGCTCCCTTAGGGTACAAGTCCGTCCGTTAACTCAAAACTCCTGAGAGAGAGTGACCATGGGAGCATAAAGGACAAAAGGGTGGCAGTTGGTCCTGGGTTTGAAATCTTTTCCTTCTTTGAGGAGGTTGAGTAGCAGGTATGTAGGTACAGTTTTATAATAAGAGAATTCCTACACAAAACTACGAGAGTTGACATGCGGGAGGAGGTCACAAACCGAGCACACCCGAAATCAAAAGGTAAGTCAGTGTGCACTGGCTAGAGGGCAAATTTTGGGGACTCTCCCCCTCACTTCCTTTTGGTTCCTCTGGCTGTTCCAGTATAAATTGTCAAGAAAGACTAGCAAGAGACAGATTTAATTTCATGCACATGGAAGTCCGTAAGATACAGAATCTAGTGAATGACCAAAGTAGTCAGTTTATATATAGCTTTTAGCCAAAGAAGTAATAATCTGAAGAACAGACAAGGCAAAGAAATTCTTTAAAGTTTTGATAACAAATGCAGTGAACTATGCAGAGCTTGTCCTCTGTCTGATGATAAGGGTGGAGGGAATGAGGGTGTGTCTCCATCTCTGAGGGGGCAGGAGACTTTCTTTTCTCTTTATTTAAAAAGATTTATTTATTTATGCATACAGGAGCTGGGGTGTAGACCAGAGGTGTGGGGGATGAGAGGATTCACCAGAGACAGCGTGGTGGGGCAGAACGGGGAGATCTACTGAAGACACTACTGAGGGGAGCAGCGGGCGAGACAGGAGGGGTCTGCTGTGCTATGTATGTCAGCTCTCTGGCCAGGGATCAAACTCATGCCTTGATGGCTGGATAGCTTGATAGCACTGAGACTTAACCCCTGCGCCACCAGGGAGGCTCCTGGGAGGGATCCTTTCATTTAAAGTTTTCAGGGGAACAGAGGAGGAGGGTGTAGGGGCAGGAAGACACGGAGCAGGATCTCTATGATCCGAGCAGACGGGGTAAGGAGAAGTCCTGGAGCCCTCCGTGGCTTCTCAGGCTTTTATTGGGATTTACCAGGTTCACAGCAGGTAGGGGTGCTGGGGGCCCGGGAGGGTAGCAGGCCTCCCAGCCCCCAGCAAGTCTTCACTCTGTCTGGGCTCTCCAGCATATTCTCGTGTCCTTGTTCTCTGTTCCTCTCGTGGTTCTGCTGGCGTCCCCGTGACACTGCCCTCATAAGCTCAGTCTCTCAGCCCAGGTGAATCCCATCTACGTATGCCCACACCCTACTCCAGGTGCCCACCACCAGGCATGCATTCAGGACCACAGGGTTCCATCATCAATCCTAATGGTAGGAGGGCAGAAAAGCCTGATACTTTACTTACCCTACAGAGGGGCAGAAGAAAATTCAACTTTTAGGATAAAATTCTACTTTTAGGGTATCATTCATTCACTGACAATTTCTTTAATTGGAAATAATACACTACTTTGGCACATTTGTGGCAGCCTGATCAGGGCCCAGCACCTCCTTAGAATGAGTGTCTCCAGCCAAAAGGTCAGGTTGGCCAGCTAAGGCCACCACATTTCACACACCAGGAACAGCAGCTTCACCATGGGGTGGGACTGGGGTCCATAGCTGGAGTCTTATCTCCTGTTTCTTGGAGATGGTGTGTGTAACGGCAGGAATGGGCATAAGCAGGATCTCTATGACCCGAGCAGACAGGTGAAGGAGAAGTGAGTCCTGGAGTCCTCAGTAGCTTTTGCAGGCTTTTATTTAGATTTACCAGGCATATGGCAGGCAGGGGTGCTGGGGGGCCGGGAGGCTGGCAGGCCTCCCGAGCCCCCAGCAAGTCTTCACTCTTTCTGGGCTCTCCGGTGTTCTCTGGTGGTCTCTCTGCTTCTCTGCTCTTCCGTTGGGTCTCCTCTCGTTTTTCTGGTGCCCCTGTTATAGGGCAGCCCCGATATTGAACGTGTTGTCTGGCTGTGGGTCTTCACCCGCGCACTTAAAAGGGACTTATTAATACTCCACTACAGGCACACACAAAAGGTTAATAAAAGGTTTATTTACAAGGGAAGGGGAATTGAGGAAATGTACAACTCAGGGAGAAAATAGGGAAATAAAGTCTTTAATGCGACCTACCCGATACTGTTATAGGGCAGCCCCCATACAAAACGGGGTGCCTGACTGTGGGTCCTCACCCGCGCGCTTAAAAGGACTTATCAATACTCTACTGCAGGCACACGCGAAAGGTTAATAAAAGGTTTATTTACAAGGGAAGGGGAAGTGAGGAAATGTACAGCTCAGGGAGAAAAGTGGGAGACAAAGTTTTAAATGAGTCCTACCCGATCCGCCGATCTGGAATCCCAAAATGGCGCTCTGAGAGCTGGCCGCCAGCCAGGAGCCGTGAAGCCAGGAGGCGAGCGAGAGAGCAAGCCCCCAAGGCCCACGTGTCTGGTTTTTATACCAACCCTGGCTGCTTAACCCCACCCTCAGGTCCCAGCCACCTTCCCTTTGGTGGTGATGGGATTTGAAGTTCCCAGAGTCTTTGGCTTTGACCTGGGGTGGGGGTGGAGTCCACAAAGCCTGTATGGAATTAGCTTTAGGACATCCTTTTCCCCCTAACACCCCCATGACGCTGCCCTTGTTAAACCCAGTCTCTTGGCCCAGGTGAATCCCATCTACATATGCCCACACCTACTCAAGGTGCCCACCATCAGCATGCATTCGGGACCACAGGGTTCTGTCATCTGTCCTCATGGTGGGAGGGCAGAAAAGCCTGATACTTTACTTACCCTACAGAGTGGCAGGAGGCAGACCTGAGGGGTGCTTGACTCTGTCGTGGAAAGAGCATAGTCACTGAAACCAAGCAGAATGAGCTCTGTCCCTCTCAGGAAGTCACCTAATTCCCCCACTGCTCAGTTTCCCCATTGTTCACCGGGGATCATAATACTTAATCTTGCCATTTCGGTGGTGACCAAATGAGACCATGTAAAATGTCATCCATTGATTGGTAGCACTAAATGGGCCTCCACTATTTTATCTCTCATCAATATCAAGCCTCCAGGGTCTATGCCAGGAACTTGTCTGAACAAGTAGCCTAGTCCCAGGCCCTAGCCTTGTCTGTGTGGTCCTTTTCCTGTTCCTTAAAAGGTGAGTGCTCAGGAAGAAAGCTCTGCCTGTGCCTGTGAAGTCAACTGCCCTTGAAGGTGGTGCTCCAGGAGCTGGAGGCCAAGCAGCCCTGGAAGGGGGCCCAGGTGTGACCTGGTGGAGTCAGATCACCTGCTAAGCCTCCATTTCCTCTATTGTCACCTGAGGGAAAGTGGGGCTCCCTTTGGTTCACATGGCAAGGCCAGAGTAAGATTGTTCTATCTAAAATGGAAGGAGGATCATGCTTTTTCTCTGTGGCAACTGTTGGAGGAAATTTCTGTCTCAGAATAGGGGAGGCTCAGGAAGTATGGCTGGGACAGGGCTGCTGGCAGTGAAAGTCCTTTGCAAAGTGCACTGTGTTGGGCCCTTATGGAACTTGCCCCTGACACCTGAAGCCTGTTTGCAGGCTTTTTTTTTTATTATTATTTATTAAATTCACAGGTGTAGTGAATCTCAGTTCCTTGAATCCTCCAAGTGCCAAACTATGCTTTGAAGGATCCTGAGAGTAATGGCATTGACCTCCCCTGCAGAGGCCTGGTCTCCTAGGTGACAGGGCCAGACTCACCACCAGGTTTCAAGAGCCCCTCTCTGGCTCTTTGGGGGGATAGAGCATAAACAGTGATCCCCATCCCTGCAACCCCCAATAAGCACCTGAAACTGCTGGTAGCTCTGTTGTTGGTTTTTTTTTTTTTAAAGATTTATTTATTTATGCACACACACACATACACACACACACACACACACCCCACTTAAGCATCCTGCAATCATAGCTCCCAGCCTAAAGAAATTATCTGATGTTGGAATCTGTACTCCTCTGTTAAGTAAAGCATCCCATAAAGTCCAACGACTGCTGTGTAAGATCATTTTATTTCACAGGGCAAAGCATTAGAAGCCAATATAGTAAGTGCATTTTACATATGTCCAGTGCTGGCCGCAAGAGCTGAATCCCCTTTAGAAATTCAGCTTTTTTTGTCTGACTTAACAGTGCAGGGGGTGGCCCTGGATGCACCTGGGACAATTTGTTTCCCCCAAGCTCTCCTCCACCAAACATACTCTCTCTCTTTTTTTTATGACATAATACATGTTTTTTTTTTCTTTTATATATTTTTTGCATCATTTTTCATTTTTGCACAATGTATGCATTTTCATCTTGGTTATAGTCAGTGAGAGCCATCTATAAAAAAGCCTTGTGGTTTTCATGCAGAAACTACTACACATTCAATGCTTTTTGCCTCAGATTACCAGAAAACAAACTTCTTTGGTTAAAAGTCCCTTGAAGAGCCAACAGAAGAAAGTGATATTATAATGTGAAGTTGTCTAAATCCCGAGATTGCTACTCCTGTCCCAGGTGCCAGTGCACATTCTTCTGCATAAATGCAAACTTGGCGAGCAGAGAAAAGCTGCATGGGTTTGGCTGGCTGGCTCTCTGCTCCAGAGCTCTGCACACCCTCTCTTTCTGCCTGTCCTAACAAAGCTTGGTGACTTGTCACATCTATGAGAGCCTAATGTCATAGGTGACCATGTTGAAGTTGTCCCAGGCAAAGAGCTTCTTCTCCAGAGGGTTGTAGTCAACCATGCTGCTGTACTTGTAGCGGTTCTTGAACTGGATATTCAGGGTCTTGCTGCTCCTCGTGCCCATGTCGTACGCAAAATTGATGGCAGCATCAGGTGACGAGTAGCTGCTGACTGTGTACAAGGTGCCACAGATGATGAACGCGTTGGCAACTGACAGCTTACGGATGTTTGTCTCCCATGTTTGTTCAAGTTCCAGATTCTCTGGGTTCAGTTTGGAGAGGACAATAGCACCTTTGGCCTCCTCAGTGCTATAGATGACCCAGAGGCCCGTCTCATCCACAGCCAGGTCAATATCCGTGTAGCCTCCCCAGGAATAGGGGAACTGTCCATGGTATCCAGCTCCAGGGATTTCTTTCTTAGCCTTCACAGACTCTGAGTTCAACTCATACCTGATCACAACTCTGGACTCTGCCCCCTGGAAGTAGAGACTTCCCTGGTAGACCACAGCACCAGTGCTTTCCAGGGGCTGAGGGAGCACATGAACCTTGGAAGGGAAGCCCTGCAAAAACTGGCTGATGAGGCTGTACTCAAAAACCTGGCGGATGTCAGTGCCCACAGTGTCAATTCTCCATGTGGTCTCCGGGGTATAGGGTGAGGTGGGTTTGGGGTCTCGCATCCACACCCCATACTTGCCTGAGATGGTTTCAGCTGTCCTTAGAGTGACGGGCTCTCCAACCCACACGAGTTCTCCACATCCTGCTGAATTAAACAAACAAAAAGCACTTACCCATCATCTTTCCATGACAGGGAAGCATGTCAGAGCCAGCAAAAGCAAGAACCCCATTTGGGTTTAAGTCTGGCGTTTGCCACCTACTGGCTGGGTGACTTTCAGCAAGTTACTTAGCTCTGTAAGCCTCAGTTTCTCATTCATAAAGGGAGCAATAATCATGGTTGAAGTACTAGGGTCATTGTTAGTTTTAGATGTTAAAATGCTTAACATAGAGTAAATGCCCAGAGAATGTCACATTATATGAATTGAACTTCTACTCAGCATCAGTTGTAAAGATGAAGGCTTCACAGAAGTTTCAAATTGTATTTGTAATATTGGACTAAAAGCAGGTCAGGATTTCTTTGGTGTCCATTATATTACTCTTTGACTTTTATGTCTGATTTTCTTTATTATTTTAAAAAATGAAATAGGGCTTCCCTGGTGGCATAGGGGTTAATTCTCAGCTCTATCACTGCTAAGGCCTGAGATTGATCCCTGGCCAGGGAAGTGACCCACATGGCACAGCAGACCTCTCCTGACTCACCTGCCACTACCCTTAGCAGTGTATTTCAGTCAGTCTCCTGTTCTGCTCCCCACTCTGTTTCTGGTGAACCCTCTCACCCCCACACCTCTGGCCTATACCCAGTTCTGCTATATATAAATAATAAATGTATCTTTAAAAAATAAATGAATAAAAATTAAAAAAGAAGTAGAAAAATCAAGTCATAATCATAATTTCTATTAAAAAAACAAAGTTTCTCAAGTCCTAACATTTGGGTCATATATTCCAGGCATCAACTTCATGTAATAAAACCCGAATATACTTTTTTAAAAAAAAATAATAAAGTGATGATTAAAAACAGTTTTAGCTGAATCATAAGAAATCTCTGTACTTGAATGGGCCCCTTATAGAAAATGGAAATTGTTTACTGTTCATATCAGAGAATATGTGAATATTCCATAACTCCCATCCCATGCATGCCTGTCTGTGTGAGAAATAATTATCAACACTGTGGATAGTCACAGTTTCTGAAAACCAGTACTTTTCCTAAATTCTTAGGTTTCCTAAGTTCCCAAAGTTCAGAAAAATGTCTTTAGGAGCAGACTGTGCTGAGATGGAGCGTGCGAAGGACCTAATGAAAAATTTTCAGGTGTAATTAATTCTATGTGACAATCGAGTAGGTGAGATGCAATTGCCACTGGAGTGACATGGGTTGGAACGCTCAGGTTCACTTACACTTAGATGTTTTTCTATCCTTGGTTTTCAAATTCACAGATTCAACTGCAAGTATCCGTTGGTTAAATTCACAGATGTAGAACCCAGGGATACAGAGGGTTGACTCTGAGTTATTATACAGGGGGGTTTGACTAGAAGGTGGGGTTTGGGTCTTTAACCCAGGCATTTTTCAAGGGTCAGCCACACTTCTCTCATCTCCCTCCCCGGCAGCCCAGCTGCATCCCAACTGCAGTGAGAAAATGCAGGGTTTTGCTCAGGAAGAACTGACTTCTGCTGGCATCCCCTGGAAAGGGAGCAGAAAGGGGTTCTGTTCCTCTATTCCTTCCCGGCCTCTGCTCCCAAGGAAGTTACTTGCCCACTCCCCTTTGCCCACACATACCTCCCTCCTGGGAGGGCTGTGGTCAGAACACAGAACTAGATACATAAAAACCTAGTAGAAAAGAAAAGAAGGTTAACTTCATACCACCAGCTCCCTCTTTACTCCCAAGCTGGCCAGGTGAACTCTCCTTCGAGAATCGGGAAGCAGGAACCTCAGTTAACTCTGATTTCAGTTCTTGAAAGTCCAAGTTCTCCAAATTCCATTTAGAAACTATTGAAAGAAAGAGACAAAATCATACTGTGGTGGAAAATGTCCCAACGACTATATTGAAGGTAGCATGTAAATGGAGTTCCAAGGATAAGCTGTTTGAGATTTGCCTTAATAAATGGCTGAGTGGAGGAGAGGGAGGGAAACAAAACAAGCTTGGACTGTGGTGGCAACATTCAGAGCTGGGTGACAGGTGCCTTGGACTTCACGCTGTTGTGATTTTGCAAATATTTGAAAATTTTCATAATAAATAGCTCAAATAATAAATAACATAACAATAAGCCTAGAACAGGTGTAATTCATTCTATGTGACAACCTATGTAACAAGGTATTCAAAATAAAATAAGAGAAATAATTTCCACTAAAGGGCAGATTGACAAGCAGGTGAGGTGTGTGCTTCAGCAATCTTGGGAAGGTTTTTAGCATCTGGGGTGCTAAAAATCAGTAATTCCCTATATGACTGCGGTGTAAACCCTGCCGATTAACTTTTTTTTTTTTTTAAGATTTTATTTTGTGTAGAAAAACTTGGGTATAGGCCAAAGATGTGGGGATGAGAGGATTCACCAGAGACAGAGTGAGGAGATCTACTGAAATATACTGCTAAGGGGGGCAGTGGGTGAGGCAGGACAGGTCTCCTGCACCATGTGGGTTTGCTCTTTGGCCGGGATTGGAACACAGGCCTAGGGTTGATAGTGCTGAGACTTAACCCCTGGGCCTCCAGGGAGGCCCCTGCCAGTTAACTTTATGGTTTGTAATGCAAGTGGCTGACTTCAAAGATGACTCAAAGAAAAACAATGCCAGCCACAGGACTGACTGCTTCCTCCCCCCACCTGAGCTTCCTTCATTTTACAGATCCTGCCTAATTTAGATAACTGGTCCATTGGGACTGACATCTTTTTCCTTCTTTTGTCTCTCTTCCATCTTTATCATTTAAATTCATGAATAAAAACAAACCCAACATTCCTGTCAGCCCCAAGAAAAGGAGGACTCCACACCTGTGAGCTTGCTACCTGTGACATCACAGTGGCCCAGGTGTGCCCTGTAATTCCCAGGGCGTAGATGTCATTGAACTTTACTTTTTCAAAGTTTCATTGCTGTGGGGCATCTTACAATCATAGTAAGAACCCCAACAGCTAGCAGGCCCAGGTGTGTTATTAGTGTAAAAGGGGGAATTGTCTATGGAAAACTCACCTGGCCCAGGTGAATCATCTCCTTGTTGTCAGCAGCACCTGCCCCTGCCCTGCCGGCCTCCCTCCCACACAAGTGAAGCAGAAGTTCACAGTGTGGCAGTGTAACAGTGCGTCCACAGTAAGGAGGGTTCCAGCTTCCCTGTCCCACCCAAGGAAGGGTGGAACTGCGCATCAAGGAGAAGCTAGGGCCCACTGGGGAGGAAGGGAAAAGGAAGAAGAAGGGGTGACCTGGGGGAGGCACATGCAGGATTAACTTGTGAGGAGCTTGCTTCTCGGCTTTGGAGACATGGAAGGAGACAAAAGAGACAGAGATATGGGAGAGAGACTCGTGGAGAGGCTGACAATGGCAGCCTTTGTCTTGACTCATATTTTGATTTTACTTTTTTCCTTTGAGACTTGCCTGGTCCTTTCTGCCGCTTTCTCATGGGTCCACAGCGGCAGGTGCCTTAGACTTGTGGCAAGATTTTGGGCCTCAGTGGTCCTGCTTTGGGTCTACCCTTTTTGGCTGGGCATTTACCCACAAAGGGATGGGTGTTTCATGGGGAAATTATTTTAGCTATATTTCTCTTCTCTCTATGGCACACTAATTGTCTTGAAGTTTTTTTTTTTTTAAAGATTTATTTTTATTTTATACAAGAGCCAGGGTACAGTCCAGATGCGCGGGAGGGTAAGAGGATTCACCAGAGACAGAGTGGGGAGCAGAACAGGCAGACGGACTGAAAGCACTGCTGAGGGGAGCAGCGGGCAAGACAGGAGAGGTCTGCTCGCCATGCAGGTTGCTCTGAGGCCTGCGAGGATCGAATTGGCACTGCGGAGGCTGTGGCTGCGGATAGCTTCAAAGCGCTGCGCTCAACTGCCTGCGCCACCAGGGAGGCCCTGAAGTTCTTTCCTATTGAAGGTTTTACACACTAGAGCATACTTTATCTTCATGTGGTGAATGGCAGAACCCATTTAGAGCAGGCAGGGTCCCCAGGTACCCCTCATTCTGCCTACTAACAGCAGTCCTGGCAGGGCAGCTTCTCACAATCAGGTCAGCAAGCACATTCCCGGAGTTGAGCTATTTCTTATTCGTTTGTACCTTTTCTTAGTCCATGGCAGATGACTTCTTCAATCGTCTTTGTGCTTAACAATTCTCAGAATAGGACCTGGTGGTGCAAGGGGTTAAGTCTCAGCACTATGAAGCTATCCATAGCCACTGTGGCCTGAGTTCAATCCCCTGCCAGGGAGGTAACCTACATGGCGCAGCAGACCTCTCCAGTCTCACCTGCTGCTCCCCTCAGCAGTGTATTTCAGTCAGTCTGCCTGTTCTGCTCCCTGCTCTGTCTCTGGTGAATCCTCTCACAACCCCGCACCTCTGGCCTGTACCTCAGCTCTGTATGCATAAATAAATAAATCTTTAAAAAACAAAACAAAACAATTCTCAGAATATAGGAGCTGGTTTCGGGCAATGTAAAGTGAGAGAGAAATAGTGGTTGGCAGCTATACAGAATGTCTGGAGTGTTTGCTCAAACCTCCCCGCCCCCCAGCTGCCTGCCTGACTCTCTGACCCTTTGAGCCACCCTGACTCCTTTCTCTGTGACTTTGTTCTGTCAATGTGATTGGAGTGGCCACATAATTTAGTAACTTACTGGGGAAAGATACATATTGACAAAAATAGAGACATTTGCAAGTCAGCAAGGAGAAATTTTTTTAAAGCAGCACCCTTTGGGACCTCCCCGGTGGCCTAGGTGTTAAGTCTCAGCACTATCACTTCTTTGGCCTGACTTCAATCCCCGGCCAGGGAGCTGACCCATATGGTGCAGCAGACCTCTCCTGCCTCACCCGCTGCTCCCCTCAGCAGTGTATTTCAGTAAATCTGCCTGTTCTGTTCCCCACTGTCTCTAATGAATCCTCTCACCCCCACACACCTCTGGCCTACACCCCACCATTCTACACAAAAATAAATAAAATCTTAAAAAATAAATAAAGTAGCACCCTTTGTAGCAGCAGAGAGAATAAAAGTGGGGGGACCCCAACAGCCATTTTCACAGTGGCTTCCTTTAAGACAGCTAAATTACTGGCACCAAAATACTGAAAAGCAGCTTATTGGAGAAAAAGAGATGATTAATAGCTATTTATAACCCTTTTCCACCTTTCAAAGCATTTTCATAGAAATTATTACATGATCTCACAAGTATTAGAGAAATGGAATATGTGGTCGAGGACTGCAGGTGGCACTGAATGTGGTTTAGTTACTGGCAATACTTAGGTGATTCCTGTGAGCCCGGTGTTGTACCAGGTGCTTGCTGTCATTACCTCTGTCCCACATAACCGTTCTGAAAGGGAACGTTATTGTCTTCATTTTGCAAAACAGAAAACTGAGGCTCAGAGAAGCTAGGTAGCTTGCCTGAGGGCACCCGGTGAGTTGTTTGCCAAGGCCACAGCCTCAGAGACCCTTTCCACCCTGTTGGCTGGAGTCGTGCCTCACGGCTCTCTGCAAAACAAGGCATTTCTTCTTCAAAATAAGCATTGTTGGGCCTCCCCGGTGGCGCAGCGGTTGAGCGCTGGGTTGCGAAGCGGCCCGCAGCCTCTGCAGCGCCGGTTCGCTCCCCAGCTGCTCCCCGGCTGCTCCCCGGCTGCTCCCCGGCTGCTCCCCGGCCACCGGAAGAGGGTCCCATATGCCGCGCAGACCTCTCCTGCCTCCCGCTGCTCCCCTCAGCAGTGTACTTCGGTCCTTCTGCCTGCTCTGCTCCCCGCTCTGGCTCTGGTGAATTCTCTCACCCTCCCGCACTTCTGACTGTACCCAGTGCTTGTATAAAAAAAAAAAAAAAAAAAAAATCTTAAAAAAAAAAAAAATAATAAGCATTGTTAACCTTTCCCAGTAGAGGGCACTGGAGTGTCGCTGTGGGTGGAAGACTATCTGGTGTGTCCTGAGGGAGGGAGTGGGGTTGGTGACATGAGTGTCACCAGCTCAACACCTGACTCCTCAGTGATTCTTTCCAGCAGCCACAGCCATAAACAGCCCACAGCTTTCTCATCACAGAATCTGAGTCCCTGTCCAGGGCCCTCCAGCTCTGCCCTGACTAAACTGAACTTACGCCACAGGTGACTGGTCACTCAGGAGGGGACCAAGCCAGCTGTGGTCTGGGCAAATAGGCCACTTCTGCTACTGATGGGCTGAACCCTAGCTCATTCAAACCCTTCAGCCCTAGGGCACCCTGTAGAGTTTGCTTTTATGTCATAGTTGCTCTTTGATTCCAGCTCATCATCCTTTATATTAAAAGTCCTGGCTTAACCTGCTGTGGGTTTTCAGTTTCCTGATTAGGCCCAGACTACTGCTGGGAGTGGGGAGTGGGAGGGCCCTGCAGGAGCCTGGGAGATGCTGGGAGGTTGCAGTCCTGGAGCTGAGGTCAGATTCCAGCGTGCAGAGCAGCACTCAGCTCCCAGTTGAGGCGCACAAAGGGCCTCATCCTTCATTACTCTTTCCTCCTCCAATGCCCAGGAAGAGGGTGTACAGATGTCTGGCTGGGGCCAGTTCCTTTCCTGGTTCCATCAAGACCCTCAGGGCTCTGACAGGGCCTTTCTCTCTGTCTCTTCCTCTCTCTCTCATCACTCTTTGCAGGAACCACGCCTCATGTGCTTTCTTTGGAGTAAACAGGAACCATAATAAAACATAATGTCATGGAGTGGCTTCCAGAATGACTTCAAGGCCAGTTCTGAATTGGCAGGTGTGATGACTGGATTGCAGTCCCCATGGCTCCTGCTTGGGGTGTCAGCCAGGAACATCTGGCAATTGTCAGACACCCTGGGCAGAGTTGTCTCACATAAAGAACC